GCTGTTCATTTTGTCATATAACATGTCAGAATACAGAAGGTCATATGAGAAAGTAGAAGGGAATCGGAGAAACCGGTACAGCTAATAATTAAAAGTGATGTGGTTCAGTGACTGCCTTACACGTCAGAAAACCTCTAGTTTAAGTCTCATCTCAGGTAAAATTTCTCTATCTTTTAGCAAGATAGCATTTCCTCAGTTTCAGATTCATAGAGAGATCTGCAAAGCCTTGGGTGCAACTGGAAAGTTTAGTGTGGCTTCCTTAAATACCTGATAAGTAATCATATTAATATTTGGTTAATTTTAATCTTATTTGTATTTAATTACATTTAATATTGTTTTAGGCCCACCCACTTCTTTGTTTTCTAACATTTGAAAGTGTGGTTCCTAAAACTGCAACCTCACATACTCTTCTTTTTTCAGTAAATAAAGCCTATTTATTCTTGGTCTGGATTTGTTCAGCTATACCACATGGATTGTGTTCACAGCCAATGGTAAAAGAGAAAGGCTCTCAAAGAAAAAGTTCTTGAATATTTCAATATTTGGCCTATAATACGGTCGCAAATTTTATCATCTGAGAGGCAAGAAATAGAACAGTAAGGATAAGAATCCAAGATAGCTGAGTTAAAAATCTCTCCTTAAATAACAAGTGGAAATGCTGAGTGGTCAATAGGACAATCAAATTATTATAAGGTAATAAAAATGCAGAATATTTTTGGCAAAATAATTCAGATTCCTGAAAGGGATTAGGTAATTTGCAGTAAATAATGTCCTACTCATCTCATAGGATTCTTGCGTGGATATGTTTGCAGAGAATCCAGATATGTTATCTTGAAGTCTTTGGTAGAAATATCTGAAAACCCTCAAATAATTAGAAGGCTTCTAGAACATTTCTTTTTAGCACTAGAATCTTTAACATCCACTCATTTCAGAATTTGTGCTTCAGCGAAATGTTCCTTCTTCAGAAAGGTGTAATAATTCCAGCGTAGCTGCAGTGAAGCCAGAGGAAACTCACTGTCACTCCATTTCTTCTCTCCCTGGAAGTCACTCTTATCATTCTTGAATTGCATTGTGTTTTCCTATCAATTATTGAACAGACCATTATAATTATAGGCTGAATACTTAGTTTTTCATATTTATATATGGACCAGACCTGACCCCCATTTATATTTCCAGATCAACTTGAAATATTAAATTTACTTGATTTGGATGTGTGAATCCATTTGGAACATCAGAAAAAGTGCATGCGTGCACAAAACCTGTCAAATTTCACTCTGGTATTTGAATTTGTTTCAGAGATTCCTTTGGAAATGGAATTAATTCATCAAATTGATGTTATTGCTTTTGAAAACAATTTCCAACTCAAATCTTTACAGACTTATACTCAGTGGTGGGATTCAGCCAGTTCGCACCAGTTCGGCAGAACCGGTAGCTAATTTTTTGTTGCCCAGGCCCAGAATGGACTTCCAGAAATGGCATCCACACAGAGAACCGGTTGTTCACATATTTGAATCCCACCACTGCTTATACTGTTTGTGAAGGTATATCAGTCTTTAAATTAGGATGCTTCTCAAGATACTTGATAGTGAAACAGAAAACTGGAACCAATACACAAGTTTGTTTGCATTGCCTTTTTCCAGTTTTTTTTTTATTCTCAATCTAGGGCCTTTCTCAAAGTAGCTTCTCTTCCTTCATTGTATTTTAGCCTTCTGTAATTACCTTGGGATAGTTCAGTTATAACTTGGTGTCAGCATGTTTCGCAGGAAGACCTTCCTTTCTTCCCTAAATCTGCTCTCTAATTACTGAGCTATCCATGTTAGAAGGTCCAATTTCCTGCCTCTTGCCATTTATCAAGGCACTTCATTCTTCGGTCTTTTTATGTCTTGTACCCAATTTTCTTGCAAATTAATGAGTGGCATATATTTGCTTGAATTCCTTCATAGCCTTTTATTAAAAATATTGTACTTTAGTATGAACTGGGAATACGTATGTCATATCTCGTTGTAGCTTTTCCCCCCAGCAAACATATGTTTTATCTATCTCCTTTAAAATAAATTATAAGTAGGCCTGCTTTTGAATTAGCTTCTTGTTCTTTTATTAGTAGCTTTGTCTACAGTCCTTAAACAGTGATGATAAGGTGAAAATAATAAAAGATTTTACTGCTAATTTCTGCCTATAAAATCTATGAAAATTGCTGAGAAAAGATAAGGTATATGGTTATTATATTTAAGGCAATTGGCCTTATAGAATACAAGAAAACTTTTGTAAAGAATATAAAATTGTATATTCTGATGTTCCCCGTAGAAATGACCACTATACTTACAAATGTAGTAAATATTCCACAAACTATGTGGAACTTGGCTTGCCAACATGATTACAAAATATTGTAATGACTGGTTTTGTGTTTCCATGTATTGGATACAGGTCATTTCTCCAAATTGTAAAATATATATGTGTTTGTGTGTGTGTATACATTGTGTGTGTACACGTACACATACATACAAACACACATACATAATCAGTCATTACAATATTTTGTAATCATGTTGGCAAGCCAAATTCCACATAGTTTGTACATAAATTTGTGGATGTACAGTACTGTATGTGTATGGATTATTTATGCATACAACATATTGTATTGTTATCAACATATTTGCATATGTTGATAACAATAATTCTGTACTCTTAATGACTTGGCCTCTGAGCATTTAGGAGACTACTTCCTTTAGGTTGACTTGACCCATCCAGTGGATTCAGCACTAACTGAAGTTTGAAAGTCCTTGTTATCAAGTGACGAAGGTACATGTTTTTTTGTATAAATTCCATCCCCGTGAAGAGATGCCATACACCTCTATGAATATATGGGTTGTACCAACTCCCTCTGCTATTTAGAAAGGTGGCCAAAACAGACTGGAGATGTTTTATTCAATAATTTTTATTTTATTATGATGTAATCATTGAAATGAGGTTTTTTTTAATTATGAGATCATTGCTGTTGTGATATTTCTAGTTACTGATGTTGTGGCTATGGGCTTTTAAAATGTTTTATGTGTATTTTAACTGCTGAGTGCCCATGTGGAGTAAGCAGTGCACAAAGACTGCAATAAATAAATTCCCAAGGATGGACTTGGGCGTTCCCCACTTTTTAAAGTTATGAGGTAGCCAAGGGTTGTTGGCCTGTGTGTTTCTGAATCTGCAATCTTTTACTGCACAATCAGCATTTAGAAGACAAGGAAGGGAATGCTGGTCTTAAACTTTTCCAAACCAGGAAGCACCAGGAGACAGAGGTTTCAGAATGATGCAACATATATAACAGAAAGCATGAACTTTCTTATTACCAGCTCCAGTGTTATAATAAACTCAAGAATGACCCGGAGAAATTTGAAAGAAATTCTCAAGCACCCGGAGAATAAGTCAGAAAAACAGAAGCTTCTTTCACAGGGTAGGAAAACTTTTGAAAAATTGCCAGGCACAGTTCAGCACACCCTTTCTTCTTTGCTTCACTGAACACATTTCTGACGCACAAGTGTATAACAGACTCTATGCACCATAGTTTGCTAAGAGATTGCTCATCTGACAAGGTTCCTTGCGTCATTACTAAATAATAGTTGCAATGCCTGCATACAGAACAGCAGCTACTATTAGCAGCAGGAGAGGGAAGGGGAGCCAGGCTCATCTCTTCTCAAGGTACATTTGCCCCATGTGCTCTTAACTCTGAAGAGGAGAGGGAGGAAAAGCTCAACTTGTGGGACTCTAACATGCACCCAAGGACACTTAACAAAATGGAAGCATTTCCTGAAGAGGTAAAACAGAGGCAGTGATTTACCAGGAAGAGATATAAAAAAAGCAAGAAGTTACGATGATGCTGAATGCTGTCTTTTAAGATTCCAGGGTTCCACCTTCTGAAAGCCAATCCTTCAGTTCTACAGAGCCCTTTAACCCAATAAGCCATTTCCCCCGTGTGGAGCTCACTACAAAAAGAGCTGCAACTACTAAATTGAAGGCTGTCTCCCAAATTCATGGGAGTGAGACATTTAGCAGCTTTGATGGGAATCTTAGCTTTGGCTTCACAGCTCTAGTCCATTCCCCCCCCCCCACAAGCACAATAATTGTAATAAGGTAGAACTAAAGTACCATCAGAGTAAATATCTAAATAAATGAAGGAAGAATAAATGATCCCTTCCCTCTACTCGCCTCACCATAGATTTGTATAACAGCAATTTCATACTGGCAGTTCTGTTTTCAGTGAGGAAAGAGTTCAGTCATAAATGGGGTCATTCCTGTGCTGGCTAAGCAGAGTCAGACTGGGTTAGTAGATGGATGGGAAGCTGGACATGACTGGGAAGTTAAAAACATACAGAAGGTGGCAATATAAGGCTATTTCCATTTGCTTATTTGTTAAGCAAATCATATATACATATCTCCACTGTCAGTAGGTGTTGAGTCTGACAACAATATTTATTTCCAAATGTTATTGAATTTGTGATGTTTATGCTCTGCATTACAAGGTGGATTTTAATGTAAAAATTCTTGTTTTAAATAGGAAAACCCTAAAAAAACTTATGCAGAAAAAAACATTTACTACAGCGAGGAAGACCTTTGGTTGAATGTCTGGTTTAAGAATGTCATCAGGGATAATAGACTGCTTTATAAAGGTCACATTTTTATAATATTTTGATAGACTGTTACACCAAATTACAAACACACACAAACTCACATATAGATGCATATACATAATACATTGAACAGTCTTTGCTCTTGCACAGAATTTATTTATTTAAAACATTTATAAAACTGCCCATCTTCTAACCAATTCTGGGCAGCTCCCAATCAGAAATTAAAAATCATGTAAAATCATATCAAACTATGAACAATAACCTATTAAAACATTAAAAACACCAAAACCTGGCATATACTTTGCATGAATGGCATCAGATCAGTTCTAGATTAGTTTTAATATAAGCATTTAAGAAATCCTTGTGGTATAGTTGGAGTGCAAAGAATTTTGGTGATGTTATTTTCAGGCCTTCAGTATTTTTTTTTTTTTAATCAACCTTGCATTGTGGCCCTTTTTTGATGCTACATAGGCCTGTGGTTTTTCCTGTGATCCTTTGAACTTACAGTTTTCATCCCTAGCCTCTACTCCTGCTCACATTTCTCTTAGACATTCATAGGACATTCATGCAAAGTATATGAAATCAAATGTAAAGTAAGAATTTCCTGATACTAAAAGATGCCATGATTTTAATAGGAATTTAGATTTTTCAGGCAGAGATAACAAACATTGAATGAGAGATCTGCTATTTTATTTCATTGTGGCAGAAGCAAGAAGCAGGGCAATCTGACTTCATATTATTATTCTGGCAGCCAATTTGTTGCACCAAACTATCGCAGTTTGTGTACCGATCGATATGTTTGCAAGGATTTGCTGAAAATTTTAAAAAGAGAGGAAACATGAATAAAAGTGAGATATCACCAAAAGTACAACTGCTAGGGACTGTTTTACAATTGTATGCAAAGTTTTAGAACTCAGAATCAAATATATGTATTTTTTTAATAGGATGATTTATAGCTGAAGATTTTTTAAAATGAAAATAGTACTTAGATTATTATTTTAGAGTATATATTAGAGTAATTATATGCAGCTACTGAATTATTACTTTCATCAGTCCTGAACAAAATCCAACAAAAAGCTGGTACGGATTTTAAGTTCTTCCTAAGCTGAAATGGACTGCTATTGTCCTCGTTTTCCCTGATTCAGTTGCCTGGCCTCATCAACCACTCGTGTGGGAGCATATAGATTTGAGGCTGGCCATCTTCCATTATGCCTGTTATTCTACCTAGAGATGGTCAGCTTTTCAAATAAAATCTGTTTGGCATAATCTTTACAAATGTTAGTATAATAATTGACTTTAAAAAAAAAACTTACTGCATAGTCCGTTGACACAAGCCGAAGGACAGTCCTCACAAGGTGGGCCGGATTTATATGGAGTAGCAATTTTACCTATGATGTTTCCTCTGGAATGAAAAAGATGAACGGAAAGGTGCCATATATTATTATAGTTACATTTGTGATTCCTGAACCCCCATGCCATATCAATAGATAATTGACTTGGTTGCATTGTCTTGGTCTCTCTGGTTTGGGTCTCTAATTTTGAGAGAGCAGATAACACCACCGTCGGAGGGGAAGACTTGACTCTGAAGTAAACCCTGTCAAGTTCTATGAGAGAGCAAAAAAGGATTTCCCTGGCTTTTTAGAGAGAGAAAGAATTGAGGGAAAATGTGACTTTCTCCTCATGTCTGTTTTCTTTCCCTCTTTCATTTCCCCTCTTTCTTTGTAACATTCTCCTTCTCCTATCTCTCTGTCTTGATGAGACAAATCATAGTTGATACATACGCTGGGCAATAGTGACAAACATAGTAGTAGTTGTATGAGGATGAATGACATCTGGCAGCAGCACAACCAAGAAGGTAACTTCTGTACCAAACTATCTGTAGATATAAAAATATGCACACAGTTGACATGCTAGAAGTGTAATATTGATAATAAGCATATGGACTTCAGAGGAGCATATAAGAAAATAAGCCCAAATGTGAGCATGGTGCAGTATATATAATTGTCTGATCTTAGCCAGTGAAATGGGATACCACTATAGCAATGAATGTACAAAGAACTTTTCCAATAATTTCATATAAAAGTTTGCCGAAGCAAAGAAATATTAGAACAAATGAGGCTTCATCCTCTGTGCTTTAAATGTATATATTTTAAATGTAAAATATGAAACTGTTCCATCCTGAACTTTATAGATCATCCCTTTCTAAAGTGCCCCACCCATCCAAAGCAGTCCACATGTCAAGTGCTATGACAGCAAGCTAGTTCTTCCTTCCTAGCTGCATGAAAGCTATGATCTGCAACTATCTGTGAATAACAAATAACATGTTTAGTATGTTTGCCATCCTTCATTTACACCATCTCAGAACTTAACAACAACAAAAAACATTGCAACACTTTAACCTAGTCTAGCTTTGCCGTTCCTTAACATATCCTGGGATTATGACTCTTAACCAGGATGTTCCTTTGCTCATGTTTATGGAATTACTTAGAGATTGTAAGGACACAGTTGCTTGGTTTTGTTGGCCATAGCACAAAAATGTTTTATTAATATCTTTATGTGGGATGTTTTCTCAATTTTCTAGTCTAACTTCAAGCCATGGCTTTCCTATGTAACAATCAGGCCTGGCTTAGTTTAGCTTAGGATCAGCCAACAACTTGAGCTTGATTCAAGGGAGTCTACCTTTTTCATTTTATTCATTTTTGTGGATTTATACTTGGTGAACATAGAAATGGCAAAGATTACAAAAAAAGTACTACCTGAGTATAATGGCCAATAACAGCATTTGGTGGGTTTGCTCCAACGCCATGCTTGAAATTTTTGTTTTCATCATACCAAGATTGAATGACTCTAGTCCATGGGAAAGGATGACTCGACATAAATAGATTTTCACCACATTTTAATTTTCCTAAAAGTGGGGAAGGTTTAAAAAAAAACAGCAAGAAATCACAGGTGAATACATGTTTCGAAAGAAGCAAAAGGACAGCAGAAAGGAGATAGTTGAGCATTTCTTATCTCTCCAGAAATAATACAATCGTCTTGCTAAAAATTGAAAGGAAATAAACATTTTGCACCCAGATTTCATACTGTGGTGCTTTTCCAAAACCTTTAATTGTGCAAACTGATAATAATTTGTTTTCTGATGAACATCAAATTATATATTTTATTTGGAATAAATTAGAGCCCAGATACCCTAATTTGTGGGGACATCTATACGTTAATACATAGTGTGGTATTGAGATTAGGGAGATTAAGGTTTAATTCTCCACTTGACCATGGAAATCTCTGAACATCTTTGGGCTCAGCATCTACCATCATAAACAGCTGTGGTGAGGATAATATCTTTAGCATCATGGGGGATAGTGGGCTATAAATGTAGTAATAAATATAAAAAAGAAATAAACAAATTCATTGTTCAAATATCATTTCTCCTGCAAACCCATGGGAGGGGGGAGAAATTAAGAAAATTATCAACATTTCAATCCAACCCAATCATCTACGTGGGAGTGGTACAAAGTGATTCATAGATAGTACTCTTGTTGTTAATACTGAAGAGTAAGATTGATTGTAAGTGTTATTTAATGTGAAATGTACTATTAATCCACTAACCAGCTAAAACTGTACTATGATTTTGGACTGACTTACCCACAGTTCTTAAATGTCGTGGACTGTGATCAAAAGAACATCTGTCTGCCCAACGTTTTGCATTTTGAGCAGCATTAAAATTCCATTCCTGAATAGAAGTTGACAGCAACAATCAGTCATTGGAAAAAAAGCATATGTTAGATTTGCAGAAAATATTTCTCTGATCATTGTTTACTACCTTTTGATTCCTTCAAATCTTGTTGTAGTTAAGAATTCCGAAGTTACACCAATATCTAAAACATGCTTTGAATAGTTGGATCTCCCTCCCCATCCCTTATATATACTGTAGCTGCCCTTCTCACAAAACACAAAACTCTGGGTGGTATACAACAAAGTTAAAAAACAGTAATTCACATTAACAGCAAAAGTTATTATTAAAAACATTACCAACTATAAAATATAGCCAAAAGGAAGTGGGACAGGAAGATTAATTGGGGAGAGGTGGTTTCTCCAATAACCTGCTGTGCAAGTGGCAGGTGAGTGTGTGTGTGAGCTCAGCTCTACTCATGTGAGAGGTGGTTGAGCAAGCGGGTACGCAACTCCATTAGTGTGTGGGGTGGGCACTTGAGAAGGCAACTCCCCTCAAGCGAGTGGCAGGTGCTTGTGTTTGTGCATGAAGGTTCATTCTGCCCCTTACACACCAACATCCCCTCTTCCCCCCCACCGCGTTGGGGCACCAAGCCAGAAAGGTTGGGGACCACTGATGTAGGACTTTAAAGGTCAAAATAAGCATTTTGATTTGGGCCTGGAGACAAAGTGGTAGCCAAGGCAACTTGCTCAGCAGAAGTATATTATTTGTTCTATGAAGAACACACATAACTACTCATGCTGTTGTATTTTGCACCAATTGAAGTTTCTGGGTATTCTTCAAAGGCAGCCCCATGTAAAACACATTAAAAAGTCCAACCGGGAGGTGACTGGGGCATGAGAGACTGTGAACAGGGCCCCTCAATCTAGGAAGGGGCACAACTGATATACAATATGAAGTTTATGAAGACCCTCTTAGCCATAACTGCCACCTGCTCCTCAAACAGGAGCTGTGAATCCAGGAGGATCCCCAGATTGTGCACAGAGTCTGCTTAGGGCAGCAAAGATGTCATAGTCCCAGAACTGGAGCGTCCAAAGCCCCAAAGCCACTCACTCTTCGCAGGTTCAGTTGAAGCCTATTGTTCCTCACCCAAACCCTCACAGTCTCCAGACACCACAATAAAACATCTACGACATCACTTAATGTGCCAAGGGCAGACACGTGCAATTGAATATTATCAGCATATGCCAATACCTCATTCCATGGTGAGGGATAAGCTCACCTAGCAATCTCATTTAGCAGTTAAATAGGAGAGGAGAAGCACCAACCCCTTGAGCCCCACACATTAGGTGCCCAGGGCAGATTCTCTCCTCCCCAAACTTATCAAGGTTCCTGCATGATGAGTTCATGTGTGACTCTTCTGTGATAATTTACACAGTAGCACTCACAGGATCTTGTGATGCATGTAGAAAGGGATGAGGCATATATCATGACAGTGTCATTTATGTCACTCTGACATAAACTGGCAAACTCTCTTACAAGGACACAAATACAATTATATTTAGCTTACCATTTGTAGCATGTTTCTAGCAGTTGGTCTCACTGATCTCCGTAAAGCATTGTGCTTGTCAAGAATCTCCTTTTGTGTTTCTCTTTTGTTAGCTGACTCAGAAGCAAAATCAACCTTAAGACAGAAAGCAAAAAGAAAAAAAAGAAAAAGACTTTAAATGGAACAGGCAACTAGTGGCCTCAGGGCTGAACGGAGACCCAAACTTCTTTTCTCCAGGTCCAGGAGGACCTCTCTTACAACCGTTGTTGAAAACTGGTGGCATGATTTCTCACTATTCTGAGACAGGAAGGACACAACTCTCGCATATTCCCTAAAATAGCCCTAATGTAAGTTTAATAGCAGAAATACTGGCTCACGCCTTGTGAATGGACTTTGCCTTATCTCCTTCTATCACCATTCTACTCTCTGCAACTTTCTTCACTTGCCCCAAATGGGAAGTGTGACCCACAACTATGAAACAGTGACCTCATTTGTCTATGTATTTGGAAAGAGACTAGTCAAAACATAGGAAACAGGGGATCACGGAATGAAGTTAAAATGAATTACCGTAATCATTTTTTCCTCATCCATTCTTCAAGGGAATACTGCAGTGACATTCATGCATTTATATAAAGAACTTATGTGGCTGTCTATCTCATATAGTGATCCTAAGCAGATCAAAACAATTGATAGAAACAGGAATAAAAAATCCTACCCACCAAGTGTCAGACCAAGCAGCCTCATTGAACCCCCATCCTAGCCCAACACTTGGGGAGGGGGGCAGAGCCAGGTCTTCACTGCCCTCCGGAAGGCTTAAAAGGGTAGGGATCCCTCAAATCTCAGTTGTGTGGGGGGGGGGCTATTCCAGAGGGCTGGGGCTTGAGTTCTGTTATACAGTACACCATGGACATTAAAATTAGTAAGATTCTTTTCATTAAATGTGCCAGTTTTAATTATATTTATTTGGCTGCCCCATTCAGCATGATTTTGTTTTCTTTGGGTGTTCAGCCCTAGAATATATTTACAAATTAAAGTGAACAGTTAGACTGACCAAGCTTTACTGACCAGACCAAGAAAGCAGAGTAATGAATGCTAATTCCATTTGATTACAATGTTACAGTATCACATCAACAAAATCTTGCAAACCTTCATTTTACTGAGAACTAAGAGTGGTCTTGTCTGAGACTCTTTTTCAAATTATATTTCTGCACTGGATTCAGATTTATCTGACTGTTATCTTGGCTGCCTCTCTTCCTCTTGCTCCTCAATGTTATTTCTACCACCCAGCACACATATGGAACTGTATCTACATGGAGGGAAGTATGCAGTGGGGTATCCCAAGGCTCTGCTTTAGGCCCAGTACTCTTCAATATCTTCACCAATGATTTGGAGGAGGGGATAGATGGGGAACTCATCAAATTTGCAGACGACACCAAGCTGGCAGGAATAGCCAACACTCCAGAAGATAGGCTTAAGATACAAGAGAATCTTGACAGACTTGAACATTGGGCGCTATCTAACAAAATGAAATTCAATAGTAAAAAAGTAAGATTCTATATTTAGGCAAGAATAACAAAATGTACAGGTATAATATAGGTGGTACCTTGCTCAACAGTAGTAACTGTGAGAGGGATCTTGGAGTCCTAGTGGACAATCACTTAAATATGAGCCAGCAGTGTGCTGCAGCTGCCAAAAAAGCTAACACAGTTCTAGGCTGCATTAACAGGAATAGAATCAAGATCATGTTAAATGTTCATACCACTTTATAATGCCTTGGTAAGGCCACACTTGGAATATTGCATCCAGTTTTGGCCATCATGATGTAAAAAAGATGTTGAGACTCTAGAAAGAGTGCAGAAAAGAGCAACAAAGATAATCGGGACTGGAGGCTAAAACATGAACAGTAGCTGGAATTGGCTATATCTAGTTTAATGAAGAGAAGGACTAGGGGTGACATGATAGCAATGTTCCAATATCTCAGGGGTTTCCACAAAAAAGAGGGAGTCAAGCTATTCTCCAAAGCACCTGAGAGCAGGACAAAAAGCAATGGATGGAAATTAATCAAGGAGAAAAGCAAGCTAGAACTGAGGAGAAATTTCCTGACAGTTAGAACAATTAATCAGTGGAACAACCTGCCTCTAGAAGTTGTGAATGCTCCAACAATGGAAGTTTTTAAGAAGAGAGTGGACAGCCATTTGTCTGAAATGGTATAGGGTTTCCTGCCTGAGCAAGGGGTTGGACTAGAAGACCTCTAAGATTCCTTCCAACTATTCTGTTCTGTTCTGTTCTATTCTATGGAACAATCCAACACATTAGGCAGTTTAATGAAGCTTTCTCAAATTACATTCTGCGCTGGATTCAGATTTAACTGACTGTTGACTCAGCTACATTTCTTCCTCTTGCTCCTCAAGGTTACATGACACACATGGAACAATCCAACACATATTAGGCAGTTTAATGAATGATTAATTGTAAGAGGAGAAAGTTATGTACTGTATGTATTAAATCTGTTATATGTGATACAAAATTATGAAACTTACAGTTCCAGAAGATTGTTGCAGCACTGCAGCAAAACATAGCAAGGCAACGAAGGCAATCATTTCTAAAAACAAAAGAACATTGAGACATATCTGTGCTTACCTTGCTTAATGGAATTTGTGCCAACTTTCAGTAAGTAGTTTAGAATGTTTGCAAATGGCTCTCTGAAAATATATATCTCTTAGACTACAAAACTCACTCTAACTCTTATGTGTTTTCTCTCCTTTACTCCTTTGTACTCCAGTATGCAGCCTACATATCCATGGTTCATCAACAAGTCATCAACAAGTAGAGAAAATATGGCACAATAATATTACCAAGAACTTGACATCCCTCCAAAATTGATCAAAAAAAATAAGAAAACTGGTCCAAGAGGCTGCCACGATGCCTACAGCAACATTAAAGGAGCCGCAGGAGTTTCTGGCAAATATTGGTTGTGTACTACATGTGACTAAAATCCCAGCATTATGCTTTGGGGCTGCTTTTCTTTAGCCGGAACTGGGATTTTAGTCAAAGTGGAGGGAAAGATGAACAGTTTCAAATATTGGTCAATTTTGACATAAAACCTTCAGGCCTCTGCTAAAATGCTGAAGATGAAGAAGAATTTTACCTTTCAACATGACAATCCAAAGCATATGTTCAAATCAACAAAAGAATGGCTTCACCAGAAGACCAAATTTTTCGAAGGCCCAGGAAGAGCCCAAATCTGAATCCAACTGACAATCTGTAGGGCAGGGGTGTCAAACTCAATTTCACCGAGGGCCGCATCAGCATTGCGGTTGCCCTTGGGGGTGTGTGTGTGGCCATGGTGGGTGTAGCCTACTTGGTGGGCGTGGATGGAGTGGGTGTGGTCTACTGGGTGGGCATGGCCAGCTCTACATCGTTCGCGTCAAGGGTGCCTGTGGGGGCCTGGGCAGGAGTGGGACAGATCTGAGGGTCTCTGGCAGAAGGGGGTGGGACCAGGGCAAGTACCAAGGCATGGTCCACTGGAGGAGCCTCACTGTTCCTCTCAGGCCAGGTGGAGGGGGGCTGGATGTTGGTGCGGGCTTCCCGGAGCCCTGGGCAGCAGAGGTCAAACACCCAGCCTGGCCCTTGAGCACCCATGGCACCAAGCCCAGCCCCACTTCCCCAAGGGGGCGCCCAGCTGCACTTACCTCCTCCTCAAGGCTGCTGCTGCTGTGCTTGCTCTCCTTAGCCAGGTTGCTCATGATGGGTATGAGGGCAAAGTCAGAGGGAGGCCCATTCCCTCTCCATGGGAGGAGACCCAGCTTTGTATCCAAAAGTTCCTTAGCAATAGGATGGGAAACCCCCAGGATAGGCCAGGAGGAGGGGGCAAGGGGATGGTGAAAGGGCAGCAGGGCAGGACTAAGGCAGGAGTTCCCTCAGACCCTCCCTCTCCTTCTTTCCTTCCTTCCATCCTAAGTACAGAGTGGTGGGAAAATATTTGAGATGAGTGAGGGAGAAAAACAGGCAAGAAACGCAGCTGGGGAGGTGTCACCCTTCGTTAGGAATGAAGAAATGCACCATCACCTGAAAGTGGCCAGCACATGGCCCTCACCTATTTCACATATCTGGCTTGGTGGGCTCTGGGAGAGGGGATGCCATGAGCAATGTGAGAGTCAACATTACCTGCGCAAGGCCGCTCAGCCCCCAGCCTGCCCGGTCTCGGCAGGCAGTGGGGCGCTCACCTCACAGCACCGAGAGGCTGAGCCAGGCGGTGCAAATCCAAAAACAAGCACAAGGCTGCCCAGCCCCCAGCCTGCCCAGCGCTATGAGAAGAGCACCCCGCTACCTGCCGAAACCGGGCAGGCTGGGAGCTGGGCAGCCTCACGCTTCTTTTTGGATTCGCGCCGCCCAGCTCAACCTCTCGGCGCTGTGAGGAGAGCGCCCCGCTGCCTGCTGAAACCCCTCCCCCGGAGCCCATTAAGCCGGATAGGTGAAGTAGATGAGGGCCATTTGCTGGCCACTTCCAGGCGATAGTGCATTTCTTCATTCCTCACAAAGGGTGACACCTCCCCAGCATGCACCCAGGGGTCGGGGCCGACACGGCAAGGGCTGGTTCCTCGCTGTTTCCAGGCGGCCTTGTGGAGCTAAGATTGAATGCGTTTCGGCATAGATGGCCACCACAAAATTGTACATTGGCTCCCGGCCGGTCTGGGCCAGGGCCAAGGCAGAGGGGGCTATTCCCTCACTGTTTCCAGGATGGCTTCACGGGCCACATGAAACCACTCCGTGGGCCGCATCCGGCCCCGGGCCTTGTGTTTGACATGTCTGCTGTAGGATGTCCTGAAGAGGGCTACGCACAGGAGAAGCCCTTGCAATCTGACAGACTTGGAATGCTTTTGCGAGGAAGAGTGGGCAAAGGTCCCAAGGCAAGATGTGCCATACTGATTGGTCAATTGGCTTCTACTCCAAAAGACTGAGTGTTGTCATAAAATAAAAGGGTGCTTCAACAAAACATTAGTTTAAGGGTGTGTACACTTATGCAACCATGTTATTATAAGTTTTTTTTATTTTTCCCCTCTAAAAGATTACAGGTTTTTTTTTCAATTGAATTGTACAGTTTGTATTAAAGGTGGAAAAAATCTGAAGTGATTTATCTTGATCTGATTTTTTTTTATCTCAAAAACCTGGCATTTTAACAGGCTGTGCAGACTTTTTATAACTACTGTATCATTTATATATAAATCTATAAACCTACAATAGTTCCTAAAGTTTACTCTTATTGATTTGCCGCAGTAAAAGATAACTTTCACCCCAGCCCTTTCCATAAAAACCAATTTAAAAAATCACACTGTTCAGAGATTATTGAATCTAAAATTCAACGTGTCTGAAGGACCCCAGGTTGGAAACAGCTTATTTAGAATATATTGCTTCTCAGTCTTTTGCCTTATATCAAATATAATCAACTATGTCAGGAGACGCAAAGGCTACACAGCTTGGCAATAGTGATTCCTCCTGAGACAATGCAATCAGAATTTGTTCCTGATTGCAAGAATTTGTCCTGGCAGCCTTTATCTGAAAGCGTGGAAACAGATTGGATTAACATGATACTTAATTCTCAGTGTCTCAGGTGTACTAGGAAGTGATGTGACACCACTGTGTGTGGAGTTGGCTTTTCTGTGGCCCTTTTCCATGGCTGTAGCATCCAATGAGAAACTACATGAATCAAAAACTGAGATGAACTTTAAAACGGATAGCGGAATGGGCAGCGTATACATTTAATAATAATTTTTTTTTAAAAAAATAAAATTGTTGAGTTACAACTCTAGCACTATGCATAAAATATTGGGGGACACTTAACCAGACTGCCAAAATCCATAATATCAGGGAAGGAGGAAATAGAAAAAATAGCTTACTTTATGAGCTCAGTTTCTCTTAGGGAAAAGTATTAAGCCATCCTGAGTCAAAAAGGAAAAAGGGGTAGGATTAAGTTTAAATGTTTGAGGTCTTATGTATTGCAGTATACATTTACAGACCAGCAGTACAAATGTTTATTTGGAAGTCAGCCCCATTGAGTTCAATTTGCATTTCATTCATATAAATGCACAAAAAGGTCTGTAGCCTTGAAACAGTTTTAATTCAAATTTCCTCTTTTCAGGAAATCTTAGAAATGTTAGTTTACTAAGGGAAGATCCAGGGATGCCTAAAAGGATCACTGGCAAACTCAAAAAATATCAGTGTCAGATTTTTGAAAAGAAAGCCATGCTATTTAAGCTAATATAAAACCTAATGTATTATGGTACTAGATGTAACATTCTCAAAGATAGAACAAAACACAATAACACTGCAGAATGGCATGAATTGTAACTAATCCTAAATTACTTTTTTTCTAAAATGATCTCAGCTTGCTTAATTAGAAACAATGGCTAACCAAGCTACAGTATATAATAAATCTTACCTATTGTTTTGAATAAGCCCCAGTGTAACTCCTTTGTCGCTTTCAGAAAATTGTGGGAGTCAGACAGACAGTACCATGATTATATACCTTCACTGCTTCCTGTATTTCAGAGTGACTCAGTGCTCAACTGTAAATTATATCCGTTAAACCTTGTAAGACAGAAGTTTGGATTTGTCAGAAGTTCTTTTTTCTTTTCTTTCTTCCTCAGGTTCATGACTTCTCAGGTGAAAAACTGCTCCTGAATCTATTTAAAGCTACCTAGTAACTTATATAAAGAAATAAATGGATATTTATCTGAACTGTCTGAACATACCTGGAAGTAAGTTCCAGTTGTGTCAATTAAGTTCCACTTTTAACAATAGAATTTAGCTAAAATGTGTTTACAACTGCAGACAAGTTTCTGTTTCACAGTTGATTGTTCTTAGAAGCTGAAATAAAATGTTCCACTAAACTATTATTTTTGTAGTGCTACGTTGATTGCACAATGTGTTTGCACAAATTTACATATGAGTCCAAGGTAGAAACATGTATTCCTATTTCTCAAGGTCTCTGTGAAATTATGAAAAAGATTTAATTAATATTTATAGATAAATCTATTTGAAGAAAAGTTTTTATTATTTATTTATTTAGGAAAATTTATAGGGCGACCCAAGTCACTCTTAGTGACTATGGGTGGCTTACAAAGATAACAATAAAATATAAAAACAATAAAAAGCAATAACTCCCACTCCCTGCTGACAACAATCAGTCAATCAAATAAGCCATTTGATGGGCTCCATCCCACTCTGGGTTTCCCAGGCCCCCTGGCAAAACCAGGTCTTCAGGGTCTTGCGAGAGAGTGTCAAAGTGGAGGCCAATCTTAACTCTGTGGGGATGGTGTTCCACAGAGAGGGAGCCAGCACAGAGAAGGCCCTTTATCTTGGTCCTGCTAAATATACCTCCTTTGAAGAGAGGATCCATAGCATTCCCTGCCTTCCCACTCTGGTGGATCAGGTAGATGTGACTGGGAAAAGATAGTCCTTTAAATAACCTAGTCCCAAGCCCTGTAGGACTTGAAAAACAACAACCAATGCCTTGAATTGAACCCAGAAACAACTTGGCAGCCAATGCAGCTTCCACAATAGAGATGACATAGGTGCACATCTATGCCTGCACAAAACC